ATAAAGTGTAAATGGACTTCTGGTTTTGAGGGTCTGGCTCACAAAATTGCACTGAATTCCAGGGCTGTTCCAGGCCCTTCTGCCACCGAGGGGGGCTTCTGCGGCCCTGCACTTCCCCGAGGAGGCCGGAGGGGGCAGCACTTTGCATTACTTTTGAGGAGCTCCTGAACGCGGGTGCCGTGGGGCGGGGGCATCCTGTGAACCCCTCCACCTTCTCAGAGAGGGGCGGGAGCGTTGGCGGCACAGATCAGAACCCTGAGCGGATTCGGAGTTCACCCCTAGCCCTGCTGCTTGCGACTGAGCGACTTGGGGCACCTTGCCAGACCTTCCTGCCTCTGAATCTTTGTTTGCCAAATGCAGGGATTTCTTCTAACCTGTCGCGAATTCTCCTTCCTAAAACCACCCACCATTCCCAGGCCCTAACTTGTCCGTGGCAGACGCGGTGGACGTGGACTGTGGTGCTGTCCATGATCTTGCCCCGAACTCCTAGTTTCTAGGAGCCCGTGAGAGGCTCTCTCGCACCACCCTGAGACTCTCTACCGTGGGGACTGCTTAATTCAGAGACTGGCGCCTAATGAGTTCTTAGCGCGTTCAGCGGATGAGTCTGGGAAATCTGTCAGAACCATGGGTGATGGTCTCCGTGGACGTCTGCAAAGGGCTTTACGGTCTCGGGAGCACTTTCCACAGACATGGTCTCCTGCCGTCCTTGAGCGTGTGCCGAGTGGCGTTTAATTTTTAAGGTTTAGGACTTTTGCTTCCTGTTAGGATTATTTGTGGAAATACTTAACAACGATTGTAAAAATAGTAATTCTGCTTGTAAAATAACTGAGCTATAGCTAAGTGTGCAGTGTAGGGCAGGAGTGACCTTCCATGGTCCTATTCTGTGGGGTTAGACATTTTGTCTCCTTGGGCATGTGTAGATATTATTTCAAGTTAAAAAATGGGAGGGGGTCATTTAGTATACCCTTGGCTCTACTTTTTAATTGGCTTACATTTAACATAAGTTTTATGTCAGCAACCACAAATGGGTTAAAGGATCAGACGTGGAAGACGAGCAGAGGGGACGAGCAGAGACCCACTGTGCATGTGTGCCTGCACACATGTGTGCATGTGTATACACGCATGTATATGTGTGCACATGTGGATGTGTGTGCATGTGTGTACGTATGCGTGTGTGTGCGCATGTGTGTGCACAGACGCGTGCATGTACAGATGCCGCTTGTGTGTCCGCACACACTCGCAAACGTGCACACACTCACACATGCACACACAGCTGCCTTCCCAACATTACCAAAGAGCAGTGTTCTCAAACTTCACCGTGCGTCTCCTGGGGGGGGATTATAAAAACTCAGAATTACCAGGTTCCACCCCAGACTTTCTGATTCTGTAGATTTGGGGTGGGGCCCAGAATTTGCTGTTCCGGCAAGTTCCCAGGAGATGCTGCTGATCAGGGGACCCCCCCCCCCCCCCCCCCCCCCCCCCCCCCCCCGCCGAGAACATTGCTTAAGAGAATTCTCACCGTTCCTAATTAATAAGTCCCTCCTGAGACTTCCTACAGAGTGGGAATCGATTCAGGTGAAACACAGCCTCTGATTTGCAGTTATGACTTTGGATTTGGGGTTCGTGTTTGAAGCCCATGGCATCTTGGTTCCCTGCACCCGTCTCTCCGGGCTGGGGCCGCACGGCCTCTGACTGTCCCTCCTCCTGCCGCTCGGAAGCTGACCGAGAGTCTCTGTGCGTCATGTGCGAGGGTACAGACACTGTCCTCTCTCCATCACACTGTGCGCTTTCTGGTGTCCTGCCCGCAAGCTCGCCCCCTTTTCTGCCGTATTCAGGATGTCATTAAGTCTGTGCAAGGACTTCCCATTTTAGCAGTTACGACTTCCAGTTCCAGAATCTCAGTTTAGTTCCTTTTATTGTTTTTATGCCTCTGCTCTTGTTGGGGGGGCCTCTCTGTGCCCTCTCCCTGGCTGCATGGGCATGTGGTTTTTCTCCAGCCGTCTGCTGAGAGCACAGGTGGCTGGTCTGACTGCCGGAAAATAGGCTGTGCAATAAGATGTGGTCACATGTGTAAGTTTAGATGTTCTAGCAGTTTCATTAAAAATTAGAGAGAAACGGGCACCTGGGTGGCTCAGTCGGTTGAGCGTCCAACTTTGGCTCAGGCCATGGCCTCACAGTCCGTGAGTTCGAGCCCCGCGTCGGGCTCTGTGCTGACAACTCGGAGCCTGGAGCCTGCTTTGGATTCTGTGTCTCCCTCTCTGCCCCTCCCCTGCTCATGCTCTGTCTCTCAAAAATAAAGAAATGTTGAAAAAAATTAAAAAAAAAATTAGAAACCGGGTAATTTTACTGAGCTTATTAACTATAACAAACATGTTCGTGTTTCAACACATAATCAGTGTGCACTGATCTCCACTTCCCCCGGAGTCCTCTACATCTGGTTCGGGTCTTCCCTGGACGTAGGCCTCTGTTAGGACCGGCCATGCTCGGGCACTCAGAGCCGGGTGCGCGGCGGCCGCTGTGTGGGGGCCCCTCTGTCCGTCCATCCAGCCAAGGCTCCTGGTACCGGCCTCACACCTGCTGGAGGGTGTCATGTGGGGCTCCCTCCCCCCAACCTGAGCGGGTGGGCGTCACCGTGTCGTGAGGGTGTCCAGTCCTGGGTCCCTGAGCGGTTTGCCCCCAGTGATTGTCCACCCTGCTCTGCCGTCGTAGGGGAGCCGGTCTCAAAAGCTGCATGGCTCTGGCCCCTGTCCTTCCGCCAACCTGAGGGCCGGCTTCGTGGTCTGCGGCCGTCCCCACCGGTTCGCCGCAGTGTTTGCCCATGGCAGTCCCCATTCCGGGGGGACCTGTTCCCCGTGTTGCTCCAGGGTCATCTGTCCGAACCCTGTGAAACCCTGCCTTTGCTCTGTGCCAGGAGGGAGCTTCCAGATCACCCGTGTTTACACTAAACAGTAACCGGCCAGGTGTCCTCATTAACCGCTGCCCCACATTTCACCGGGATGTGGAGGGGAGTCAGGGAAGTCGGCCCCAGAGACGCCCCCCGGCCCCCGTTCCCTCCCTGCCCTCCCCGCAGGGCCTGGCCTCAGTGTCCCTGCGCCTGAACCACTTGCAGTGTTCTGAATGTGGATGTAGATGAATTCTTGCCGTATTTCAAAGCAACAGGTCAGCTCGGGCCAGCCGCGTTCCCCGGAGAGCACGCGGGCGGACACCGGGATCCGGAGAGCACACGGGGTGGTGGTCAGGCTGGCGGCTCAGGGCCGTGGCGACCAGCACCCGGGGCCTCCCCTTCTCGAGAACCCGCCCAGAGCGAGGAAGCAGGTGCCCCACTGTTCACTCCTAAGTGCTCAGATTTCATTTTAGCCACTTACATACTTCCTGAGAAGTTTCTTATTGCAGCATAAACCAGAACCCATTCCGTAAGTCATTACAACTATTGAATTGGCCCCAAATACCCGATTCCTGAAAAGTCCGTGAACGTGAGAACTCCGTACATGTCATGAGAGGAGCATCATTCCTGAGTTGGACCACATGCTGCCCAGGAGCCCCGTGTCTGTTTCCTGGGGCGGCCTGCACAGACAGAGCTCAGACGGGAATCCACGCGCTCCCAGCTGGAGGCGCCTTTTTCACGACCAAGGGTCACGTTCCTTCCAGGGCGGTCCGCTCTGTGTCCCGGCTGCCGGCTCGCGGTGGACCTGGGTGATGGTTGACATGTGGCAGGATGACGGCCGTCTTCACACGGCGCTGTCCCCGTCGCCCAGATTTCCCTCTTCTTTGAGGACGTGAGTCATGCTGGAGTGGAGCCACCCTCGTCGCCTTTGTAAAGACCCTGTTTCCCAATAAGGTCAGTTCCGTGGCCCTGGAGTCAGACTTCAAGGTGCTAATGGCAGGGCCCCAACTCATCCCGTGATAATCCAGCAGCACCGAGTCACAAGGGGTTGGGCCTGTGCCCAAGGAATCTTGATTTTTCTGACCCTTCGAGGAGGAAAGTCGTGTTTCATTTGCTTCTCAGTGACTTTCATTCACGTTAAATTTATAGGTTTTAATTGGGGCTGGGAAGGGGTAAAAATGGACCCTGCCGCGTGCCTTTTGCCCCCGAGCTCATGGCCCCGGGCCGAGCGCCTCCCTGGGTCCACGGAGCATACACGCCACCAGCTGCCCGGCACCTCCCCCACTGGGCCACCTGCAACAGACAGCTCCAGTCCTGGTCTCCACGGTCCTGCCCTCTGGTCTCACCTGGGCTGCCCAGGTCATCCCTCTGTCCCTGAAAAGTCAGTAACTGCTCTCCCAACACACATCTGAGTGCTGAGAAGACGTAGGGCGAGTACTGGGTTCGGATCCACTGTCTGAGTGCCGAGAAGACGTAGGGGGAATACTGGGTTCGGATCCACTGTCTGAGTGCCGAGAAGACTTAGGGGAGTACTGAGTTTGGATCCGCTATCTGAGTGCCGAGAAGATGTGGGGGGAGTACTGAGTTCGGATCCACGCGCAGGGTTGATGGATCTCCCAGCTCAGGATGAGCTTCTCAGTTTCACTCTCTACTTCTCACCGAGAGAACACTGAAGGCGCTTGGCGGATGAACCACCGCACTCCAGCTCCGGAAATTGTCGGAAGGCGGTGCTGCAGCTCTGGACCCTCCCATGGCCAGCGACTCCTGTTGAGTCCGTGCAGGGCAGTCCCGCTCCGGTTTGGGAGGACCTGGTGACGTTAGGTTTTCCAGCGAGTGGCAGGAGGTAGACGTCTGGTTAGTTAGAGAAGTGTTTGTCTCTCCAGGATGGTTGTTTAAACCAACTTGTGTCCTGGGAAAGCGCCGCTCTCGTTCAGATCAATACTCACTGATTCGTTGAGCCTCAGAGAGGAGGCACTTGGCCCAAGGAAGGAGCTGGGCTGCAAGGTTTAATTCCTGAGGTGCCTCGTCGCGGTGTTGAATCTGGGTGAGATGATGGCTCATCACTAGCGGTGACTGCGCACTTCTGTGTCTAAACACATCTCTTGTTTGTTTTCAGGGATCTGCGCTTTAACAGAATCCGGGAGATCCAGCCCGGGGCATTCAGGAGGCTGAGAAACTTGAATACGTTGTAAGTCCAAACGCTCTGTTGGGACCCCGTGGGAAAAAGTGTGGAAATCATCTCAGCTTCCACCTGCGGGTGGAGCTCAACCACAGCGGTCAGCCCCGATGATCCGTGGTCGGGGGTGTGGATCGGGAGAGTGGACACGGGGCCCTAGAGGAGAACACGTACATTGAGACGCCAGGCCTGTGGGTCCGTGCTCGGCGGCCGTGCTGTCTTGTCTGACATCTGTGACCCGTGTGGGTCCCTCATAAATGGGTGTGACCCAGACCTATGGCCACGGGCACCTTCTCTTCCTATGAATGACTCAGCCCTTGGCTGGGCCAGACCCCTTCACCTGCCCTATTCACATGCCCCCCTCACAAGGTGGAGGGGAAGGTGCTACTCCCGAGCTAGCTGGGCCCAGGATGGGAGCCGGGGGGGGGGGCGGCCAACCCCCCCCTCTGGTGGGACCACTCTGCACGTCCACACTGGCCTTCCAGTCGGCTGAGGTGGATAGTGTGACAGTCAGTAGGACAGACAGATACCCTCTCCACCAGAGGGGAACTTGGTCTGTGTGCCCGGGGGGGGCGGGAACGGCGTGCCATGACAGGGACACCCATGCACTGAGGAAACTCATGATCAGAGGGCAAGACTGAAATGCTGTTCATCATGGACACAAGCAGTCAAGCCAGTGTATGCGCCGAGCTCCGCAGCGGAGTCCTGCTATGACCCTTTGCAAGCGGAAGGAACGTTTCCCACAGCACGGTGCAGTGGTGGTGTTTTAATTCTTCCTGAACTTTGGTTTCATAGGCTTCTCAACAACAATCAAATCAAGAGCATACCCAGCGGATCATTTGAAGACTTGGAGAATTTAAAATATCTGTAAGTTAACCATCCGTTCTTTACCCTTCAGAAAGCTTATGTTGTCGGTATACAGACTAATCATTGAGCGAAATGTTATGCTGCTTGCGAATTATTGCAGATACACCCATCTCTTAGGCTTTATTTTCAGAAGGTAGTGAATTTTCGGGTGGGATTTTTAAAATGAGCTCTTGTCAGTATGAAGTGCTGTGTTGCATGAGGCTCGGTGAGTAAAGTCCGCGAGTGAGGTTAAAAGTCACAGCCCTGCAGAGTCCCGTGGGAACAGTAACTCTGCTTGTCTGTGACTCATGGTCCCTCGCCAGCGTGAATGGCTGACAGGTGGTCTGTGAGAGAGAAGCTTGGAGAGCAGTCTCAAGCTGCCTGTCCAGCTGTGGGCAAGTGTGGGAAGCAGATGACAAATCCCACTGGAATGTCACTAGTTTTCGGCTAATTTTCCCCAGCTTCCTCCAAGTGATTGCACCTCTTAGTTTTCTGCAGTAAAATTGTAGTTTACTTTTCGGAGTTGACTTTCGGCAACTTATTTATTAGAATTTAAAACATTTGCCTGTTGAAGCCAGTTTTGCAGGTTAGACAGTGGCCTCACTGGCAGGTGCAGGCCTGCTACGTTGCAGGCACTTAAGTTAAGACCGGAAGGCATTAAAGACACATTCCAGTCGCATTCCTGGTTGTAGAGAAAAGTACGTGTCGTGTACGTGTTATTCTTACTTTTAAGACTTAGATGGCATTTCCAGATAGAAGTATTAAAAAAATGTTTTTTAACGTTTATTCATTTTTGAGAGACAGAGACAGAGTGCAAGGGAGGGAGGAGCAGAGAGAGAGAGGGGGACACAGAATCCGAAACAGGCTCCAGGCTCCGAGCTGTCAGCACAGAGCCCGACGCAGGGCTTGAACCCACGGACCTCGAGATCGTGACCTGAGCTGAAGTCGGACGCTCAACTGACTGAGCCGCCCAGGCGTCCATCTTTCTGTCTTTTCTTTTTTTCTTTTTTTTAATGTTTATTCAGTTTTGAGAGACAGAGAGTGAGTGGGGGAGGGGCAGAGAGCGAGGGAGACACAGAATCTAAAGCAGGCTCCAGGCTCTGAGCTGTCAGCACAGAGCCCGACGCAGGGCTCAAACTCACTGTCTGCCATATTATGACCTGAGCCAAAGTCAGACGTTTAACCAACTGAGCCCCCCAGGAGCCCCGAGGTAGAACTATTTTAATGAGGGATTTGTATCACTGACTTTTTTTGGAAATTTTTATCATAAGTGAACCTAAACATCCAGAAGTTATGTTGATTTTTTAAAACAAAGTCACATTATTGGTGTTGATGTGTATTTGGAAGCCTGTTTGATTTTGGATAACGTCACTGCAGCGATCACTTTAACTCTGCTTACAGAAATACGTATTCCTCAGTGAAGGTAAACGAAAAGTGTTAGGTATAAATATTTTCCATCACAGTTGGCATAATGTGTTGCTTTTTAGAACAGGACAGGACAGAATAGACTAGAATAATGTATGAACATTATTAAGCCTTGTCGCTCATTTTAAAAATGAGGGAAAGGCCTTCTGTTATGTATTTATTTATTTTAAGTGCTATGCAAGTTCCAGAAGGAAGGTTTTGGTTTCTGACAAAAGTAGGTTCGGTTAGCTGATGGCCAGCATCCGTAGTGTGTGTATGTGTGTGTGTTACTTTTATTTTTTATTTTGTATATTGTGCTTTGGGATTGAATTAATTAGGAGCAAGTTATCATTCACTCTGCAGACGTATTTAGTGTTACAGTTTGGGGGACACTTTGGTTCTCACTTACAAGGATATTTTAAAGTAACACTTGAGGAGCCCCGTCTGCTGGCTCACTCCCCATCAAGGCACCTGCTCTCCAGCCTCTCCCCCCTCTGTGGCTGGCCTGGCAGAAGGCGCCCCAGTCACTGGGGAGGGCTTGGGGCAGGGTCCCTGGTGAGGAGGGACCCCACCTGCCCATCTGATCCCCTCCTGGGCAGGAGAGTGCGCTCCCACAGGCACCGCTGAGGACACTGCAATTTCAGTACCGGGGAGCTGTTCTGAAGTTAACCGGTTATTTCTGCCTTTACACGTAGTCAGTGGTTTCAGACGTTGAGTATTATTAGTTGCCTGTGTAAGGCCTAAACCTCCCCTCACTGATATTTCCGGATGAAGTTGGGCAAGAACTCCTGCTCCAGGCGACTCTGACTCTGTGTGGACTCATCTGTACGCGGCCCGTTACTGGAGGCGACCAGCACCCACTTACTCCCGTGGAGCCCACGTGTCCTCACAGACGCACACTCGTCCACGGTAGTTTGGTTCAGTCCTTGCAAAGTGACCCAGCACCGGGGGCTTGTTTTCGCCGTCTTTTGAAGAAATGAGCCCAGAAACCCCCGTCCGGAAGTAGAAGGGAGAGGAGCGCCTGCCGGGACCGTAGTGGCCGGGGGTGAGGCCATCTTCTGTCGGCTTCCCATGTATCTGTTCACTCCCAGTGATCCTGAAGTGCTGTGGTGTCCATTTACATCGGAAGAAACTGAGGCGGAGGAAGGTTGCCAGCTCAGCTCGTTCACGACCACACAGCTAGTGAGTGGAGGTTGACAGAGTGGCCGCTGGCCAGGCCTCTGTGGCGGGCGCTGGGCTCTGCACGGGTGGGCGAGCTCTGCCTGGTCTCTGGGGTCGCCTCGGCACATTTGCCCAGACGGAGAAGTGGGAGCCGCTTAGCTGGATGGTTCGAGGTAGCCCTGCACCGAAACCCACGAAACCCAGTGCAGTAAGACGCATGGTCCTTTGCAGATGAAGTACACAGTGTCACAGGCGTTAGGACAAACGTGTTCTTGGGGGGACGAAAGGGCGAAAGCCTAGCCCCCAGGTAACCAATGTGCAGGGGGGGCTTTACCGCGGTCCCAGGCTGGCACCTGTGTGTGCTGACCGGTCGCTGGGCGTCCACAGCAGGCAGAGGCACCCAGGGCGCCAGCCTCTTTGTCTGATGCTGAGATCACCTCGTATTCACCATGGCCCTTCAGGGCTCATGAGGATGGTACCGGGGGCCAGTCATGTCCTCAGAACCCGGGCCCTTTGGGGACGGTCCTCACCCCTGGCAGGTCCGTTCAGGATGTGGCGGACTCTGCGAAGGGCCATCCAGCGTCTGTGGTGGCTCCCCGCCTCTGCCTTGTGGCCCCCCCACCAGCCGTAGGCTAACAAAACCGGGCTGTGTCCCGTGTCCTTACGGACTCTGCAATTCACACTTCACATACTTTTCCTGTGTCGTGAGGTGTTAACGTTCTTCTGAAATTTTCAACCAGTTAAAAATGTAAAACCCATTCTTAGCTTGCAGACCATCTCAAAACAGGCAGTGAGCCAATTCTGTGACTCTTCTGACATGCCAGCAGGGGACCCTGGTGGGGCAGGTCTGCAGGGCACATGCAGGGTGCGAACTGTCCGCTCCCCAAATTGTTTCCGGGTCTCTCAAAATGCCGCAGTTACAGCGTCTTATGATCAACGCATACTACACGTTTGTGGGGAAATGGTTTTATTCCCTTCGAGCTTTGAAGCGAGTGTACTGGGAACGAGTCGCAAGCCGTGCTCCCAGAACCAGGGACTGGTCTGAAGACAGAGCAGTGGTCAACGGCGTCCCATGTGTGGACACTGTCCCTCCAGGAGGGTAACCGCGCTGCCGTGTAAATGTGTTGTCCGTATTCTAATACAGTCGTTAATTTTAAAACCCTCTCCATGTGTCGACGTAATTCTTCTTTCCACCTGGAGTTACGGTGTCTCGTGTGTGTGCTAATCCTCCCCTCGTTTCTTGTTTCAGCTATTTGTACAAGAATGAGATCCAGTCAATTGACAGGCAAGCGTTTAAGGGACTTGCCTCTCTAGAACAACTGTAAGTGTCCCTCTCCTGCGCCTGACTGCCTTGGATGTCACCCGCCCTCTTGCCTCTCGTAGGGAAGATGAACTAAGTTTGCTGTCTGCACGATGCATGTCTGTACTAACGGGGTGTAGGGCGTGTGTGCATGCCGATTGGAAAAGCAGTGGTTGACTCGTTACTCCTCTGTCTGTCTGACCCCCACCCACCCGGTCCTGGACGGGACTGGTTTCTGCCCAAGAGCAGCCTGGTGCTGAGCCCCCGTGATACAGAGATCAGCGAGAGCCAGTGGCCCCTGTGTTCATGGTGCTCCCGAGTTAAGGGACAGGCTCGCACACAAGTGAAGGGCCTTCGGGGAGAGGCACCCGGGGCGCCGCGGGGCCAGCAGGTGGTTTTTATTGCCCGCCGGTTCCTTTTGTGACTCTGCGCACGTGCAGCTTCCTTCGTTTATGACGTCATGATTTCGGAGAAAATAAACTTTTTCACGTGGTTCTAGTTAGCGTGTGTGGATGTCGTTTCCGTGGCCGCACAAGAAGTCCTCCATTGCTGTGAAGTCAGCACGTTTGTTTCTAAGTAGAATTCCAGGCAACGGGAGTGTCTTTCTGGTTTGTCTGTCTGACTTTTCAGCTGTGGAGCTGGAACAACTTGGAGGCTTCCAGAACTGCCCGCAGTTTGGTCGCACAGCCGGACGGGGCCGGTTGCTGTAACAGGGGGTCTGCCCACGGCCGCCCGCGCGTGTGCGTGTTTCCTCGGCCGGCCGGGCGCAGAGCCTGCACGGGGACCCCCGGCAGGACTGGGGCGCGGGCACCCCGAAAACAGTGCCTCAGGGCACACACGGTGCTCGTGTGTCGAGGCCCTTTTGATTTGGGAGGGACCTGCATTCCTCAGCTCACTGCGCGTGGCTTGTGATGTCAGGGAGGGAAGGGGTCGTACGGAAGTGTTTGCGTAATCTTCGCTTCAGAGAGAAAGGGACAAAAAGTTCAGAGCTTTGCAGAAACACACGGAAGTGTCTGGAAAACGTCCAGGTGGAGGAGAGTTTACGAAGGGACACACTCCCCCCCCCCGGGACGGGGCAGTGAGATCATCGTAGCCGACACCTAGAAAATCGCGTCTGATTTAAGCGTGCTGGAAAGTTGAAGCAGGTGGAGCTCACCCTGACGGTGGGGGGCGGGGAGGCCAGCTACTTTCCAGGAAGAAAGGGGCAAAGTCTGGGGGAAGTGAGGCTTACTGGACCAGGAGCCCCGAGCAGCGTCTCTAACCAACCGGCTGGAGACGGTGGATCCTGGGTCCGGATGCCTTCGAAACCCCGGGTTAGGGAGTTAGGGTCCCTGCCACCGGGACTTCATGCCCTGAAGGTCGGCGAGAGTGTGACAGACCCAGAGACACGTAGGACCAGGCCCCCCACCACGGGGAGGACTCTGTGCGAGGAGACGGGGCTGTTCTGGTGGGTGTGCCCGGGCTGCGGTCTGGGGTCCCGTCCCCATGCCAGGAGCCCCTCCACACCCCCGGGACGAGCCCGGGGCCACCAGAGTCTGCTGAGCTTCTGCCCAGCGGGTTTCTGGGAGGCCCGCATCGTGTGTGGTGAACGCGTGTGGCCAGACGCAGAGAGCGTAGATGGGGTTGGGGCTCACGGCCGTCTTGGGGCCGTGGGGAGGGGGGGTGGCCCCCAGGCCGCCCGGAGCCCCGGGGAGTCTCTCCTGCCTCCTCCACCTCCTCCCTGGGCGCCTCTCCCAGGACTCCCCCTGCCTGCCGACTGGGGTCCCCTCCAGGAGCCTCCTGTGATGGCCGCTGACTGTGGATTTTCTCCCCGTGTCCCCTCTGTTCCCTGCTCGTGGGCTTCCCACCCTGGTGTGCAGGGCGATGGGCAGGGACCTGTCCGGGTGTCACGGAGGCGCGGGAGGTGGATCTGGCAATGACCTGAGACTTGGCGGGGGGTGGGGCGGGTGGGGGACACCGTGCACCCTCCCAGGGAGCCAAGGACAGGAACAGAGGGCAAGGGAGGACAACTGAACTCTGGTGACCCAAGTTACGGTAATCTCAAAGTTAGTGGAGGTCTCCGAGTGATCTGGGTGCGTTTCCAGAGTGCTTTCTGACGTTTGGGTTTGGGGTGAAGCCTGTAGCTGCTGGGCCCAGCGTCCCCTCCCAGAGTCAGCCTGTGTGAAGGCGGGGACCCCCCTCCTCCTCGTGTGGGTGGGGGGCTTGCGGCAGGAGCACCCCGTCCTAAGACCACTTCTGGTGTTTTTCTTAAGGGGAAACACACCAATTTCCAAAGTGAGAAAAGCAGTAATTGAGGAAAATGAGGAGAAATTAGTTGTGGTGAAAAATGTGTAAATTATGGAAAGTTAAGGGGACATAGTAAATGAAATATAAATGCTGGCTATTCTGTGAAATTAGCACATTATCTTACTAAGCCTGGTGCTGTGTTATTTTTCCCGTAGTTCTTTCCAGAGCTGACGGTATGCTCACCCCCACATTAACGTACACGTGTATCCTCCCCTAAATTCACATACAGACTAGAAGGTTTGAATGACGGCGTGCACCTACTTAACGTGTGCTGCAATTGAGAGTATTTTGGCTTTTTTCCTGCGAAGGTCCGTGTGCTTTGCAAGCAGGTCCCCGGGCTAAGCAGCCAGGCCCCAGGCCTGAAGGGGACTTGGTCAGAGTCCCTGCTGTCCGTCTTACAGTCTGTGCCCAGTTTTTAATTGTATTTCATCTTACTATGTGATTACTTCACGTGTTTTCTGCACAGTGTAGGAAATCTAGAGAGTCACCTATTGACATACGAATTTGAAATGACTTAGGAACCATTTTTTTGAGCAGAAAATCTAGATCAGCAAAAGTAAAATTGTTTAAAATGTTTCCTTTCTCTTTTTCCTTTTGTTTAAAAACTTGTCTAGATACCTGCACTTTAATCAGATAGAAACTTTGGACCCAGAGTCATTCCAACATTTGCCGAAGCTGGAAAGGCTGTAAGTTGATTTCGTCTTGCCCTCCCGTCTTCCCGCTGGTCCCTGGGGGCTGGCGTGCCCTCAGGTTCTGTGATGGAAAGGGGGCCACTGCCTGTCCAGACACCTGAGCAAATCTCTGTTCCTTGTCTGACAGTTCAGAAGTGGGACTTCACAATTTTCTCTTTATTTGGAGATGGTGATAAAATAGAAAAAAAAATCGAATTATTTTCTGAAGTCAATATTGTTCTCAAGTTCATTTGTATCCCATAAACGCAGTCGCTGAGGTATTGTTTACAACTCACTTACTTGACTGCTTGTACTCTTTTCTACACGTGTAAGAAGCGTTTTTAAAAGTTGGTTTGCGGTTTTCTCTCTTTCAACAGATTTTTACATAACAACCGAATCACACATTTGGTTCCAGGAACATTCAGTCACTTGGAATCCATGAAGAGACTGTAAGTGTGTCTTTACAGAAGCCGATTCCCTGCCATTGGCCGGGTCCTGAGCCGGGTCCTGAGCCGGGTCCTGAGCTGGGTCCTGTGCCAGGGGCTGCGGGGTATGTCACATGCAGAAAAGCACAGGGACACCCGGAGGGCACAGTCAACCCTCCCGGTGGGCACAGCCGAGAGCCCCCGGGACTCCGGGGGTGTGCCAGCAGGTTGACCCCTTCAGAGGCCAACAAGACATGTTTTAAAATCAGTTTCACATTCTTCAGATTAATTTTTAATTCCATGTTGCATATTTTGGTGGTGGAACCACGTCCGTGTAGGACTCTGTGTCCTGTCCCCAGCCCTTGAGTGTTCGCAGAGCTGGGCATTCAGTAAACTGGTCCCCCGGTTTCTAAGACCTCTCAACACCCTTCTTGTACTGGGTGATGTATTGTAATAGAAGGAAGGGATGTTAGTGCCGGTCGAGAACGTTGCTTGACGCCCTTCTGTGTTTTCCTCTGCGGTCAGGAGGGCCGCCGCTCTGCGGTTGGCCGTCACCGAGCGTAAGGAGCTCGACATCAGGAAAAGGGGAAGATCATGCTAATGAGCCCAGGTCCAGAGCGAAATAAGGTGAAATAAGACAGCCTCCCTCGCTAATTAGGATTGCTTCTGGACAAAGAAACGAGCCAAAGTCAGACGGCGTTCTGGCGAAGGTGGAGGGGCACTTGGTGTTGAGGGAGCAGGGAGGTCGCCGGAAGAGCAAGCTTAGGGCCGGGCAGGCAGGCGGGGTCCCCGGGGTGGGGACCTGGCCAGCGGCCTGGACGCTCCTGGCCGGCCTGTGTCCGGCAGGCCCCGCACAGGCTCACGCGTCCAGGTCGTCCGGGGTGGGCTCGTCCCCATGTCTCACCGTCTTCCCTGTCCCAGGAGACTGGACTCCAACGCGCTGCACTGCGACTGTGAAATCCTGTGGCTGGCGGATTTGCTGAAAACCTACGCCAAGTCCGGCAACGCACAGGCGGCCGCCACCTGTGAATACCCGCGACGTATCCAGGGGCGCTCGGTGGCCACGATCACCCCTGAAGAGCTGGACTGTGGTGAGTGCGGCCAGGGGCCGAGGGGGACCCAGAGCCCCGTGCTGGCGCCCAGGGGGTGTGGTACGCACGGCCCTGCCCACCTGCAGGGACGGTGTCCCTGCATCAGATCCTTGTAGGACTGACAGGGACGCTCCTTGGCAAAGCCCTGGTCTGCACACAGCATCTCTCAGTGCCTATGGGGTTTCTTGGCTTTTGTTTTCAGGCTCCCCTGCAAAATGAGCAAACTGGGTCACACTGTCCCTGCCTCCCCGTCCCTCCCGCCCCCGTGCACACAGGCTGCAGCTGCCGGCTGCCTCTGTGCACTGGGCTGGGCCTCCGGCCACGGCCCTGAGACACAGACCGCCAGAAGGGCCAAACTCCGACGGCGGGGCAGAGTCCTGCAGTGCCCAAGGCCTGGTGTGGCTGAGCCT